AGTTGCTTGGGGTTTTGATAACCTGGGGTTTCCAAGCCTGTGTTCTGATTGCTCAGCCAAGTCAGCAGTGGACTGAGTGAGGGGAGTGTAATTCTCTGCTGAAGTGGCTGTTTCCTTTCTCCAGGTTATCCTCTATATCATTCTGTCGGCTGCCTGTGGTGGGCTTGCATGGCCGAGCTGTGTGCAGAAGTAACTGGAGGCAGCTGGTGCTGGTCACTTGGAGATGAGAATCACAGGAGTGTGAAGAAACAACCTACGGAGTAACTCTTAACCTTTCACTACTGACACCTTCTCATTCTTCCATCCCTCCAGGACTTCAGACTTTTTTGCCTTATCACCCCAAACAGGCCCAGCTGGTCACTGTGCAGCTGTAACCTCAAGAATGGGCTGTTTTAAATTACTTGAAGGGATTTTTTTTGTTTGTTTCTTTTTCTGTCCCAGCTACAACCTTCTCAGCTGGGTGGGCGGTAGGTCCAGCTCGGGAGGGTTATGTGCATGCTCGCTCGTGTGTCTGTGTAGCTTTGCACTTTTCATGCGAGCGTGCAAGTGGGGAGCAGTGCTGCAACTGTCCTACCCGTGAGGGTGGTGGCGGAGGGTAGTTTGGGGTGGGCGCAGCCAAACTAACAGTGGATGGACAAGATGGGTGTACATGAATTCCCCCTTTTCTACAAATATTGGAGATGCAGGTGCCTCTCACTGCACATCTGGCCTCATGTGGTTCTGTAGCGCTTCAACACGTAGAGATTGCAAGTGTCATGTTGGTAGTAACAAAAAGAATGGCTTTCGGGCTAGAACTTTACGTGCTGTAAGATGTAGGTGCTGCTTCTGTATGAAATCTCCCTTTTCCTGGAGGTCTTTCTGCAGGTGGTAGGAGAGGGTGTTGGGTCACCTCAGCATCTGGAGATGGCTGCCTCTTCATCCTTGCTTCTCCCTTGTCTCTGTCCCCCCCCGCCCTTAATTTGTGACTAAATCAATACAGTAAAGGAGATGGTTGCAAATAGTGAAGGTTGCAGTAATGTATCTGCTTTCTCACCTGTTATTTCTCCTGTTCTTCTTTTGAGGGTGGACTAAAATGAATACTAATGTTATCGCTCGCTAAGGTGAAACCAGGGGCCAGTCTATCGATCTGGCTTGGTAAGGTGTCGGGTATCCCCTGCTTGTGCTTCTACTCTGAAGGTGTGTGCTAAAAACTGAGGACAGAGAAGGGGCAGAAGGTTGGAGTTGATGGACGGTTACTTTCTCTGTGGTCTGAAGAAGAAAGGCTCTTTCAGAGGATGTGGTAACATGTTACTCCTCTGAAAAGAAAAACAAATCACCCACCAAACCAGCCTGAACACAAGGCTAATAACCAAACGTAGGATCAGGTATGCTGCTGATGTGCTGCTGTCACGGGCCAGGGACCGCTTGGCCCGCTGTTGGGAGCGGTGAACGCTGCATTTCTGTCCCTGCTGGACATGGGAGTCATCAGGCAGTCCTGGCTGACTGGAGCCGAGGCTGCTGTTGCCTGGGGTGAGGGGTGTAGGGACTTCTGTCTTACAGGCTCATTTCCGAGAGAAGAAATAGAAACAACTGAAATCTGGTAAAAGCATTAGTCTACAAAGGAAGCTGCATCTTTTTGGCCCAGGGAAGCGGCTTTTAATGGTGGGTGGAAGCTATTGAGGTTTGGGAAGGGGGGGAGGCTTAATCTGGTGGCTGAACTGGAGCCATGGGGTCCCTGTGGCACAGGCTTGCCACAGGCCAGTGCTGCTCCGTCATGTGCTTGTCCCGGTGTATGTTACACTGACCTTGGTAAAGAGTTCTATAAACTCGTGTGCGCGCCTGGATTTGTCCTCTACTAGGCTGAAAGGGTAGTCGGATCTTGATACCTGGAAAGTGTCAGTGGTTCTGATCGGCACTGTGGTCGCTGGCATCTGTTCCTATTTCTGTTAATGGAATGTAAAGCTTAGAGAAAGATTTCTTTCTGCTTACCTCCTACTCTTACAGCCACCCACAGCTCAGTGTACATTTGTGCATGTTTTAGGGATTGTCGATGTTACCATGTTCATTTCTATGATTTGTTGTCTTCTGTACAAATACTTTTTAAAGAAAATACTTCCTTTCCTTTTAAAGGATGCACTGAGGCATTAGTGTAAAAACAAAGTTAACTTGATTTAAATAAAATTACTGTACAGACAGCAGAGTTCTTTCATTTTGTGAAAGGCAGGTCCGGCGCTAGATGTAGACTGTTGGTAGAAACCACTCCACGAAACCAGCGTGTACCTGGGCTGTGGGTCACCCTTTGCCCAAGCTCCAGGCTTGGAGATGTTCTGCTGCGAAATGGTTTCCATGGTGGCTGTGTAAAACCTCTTGGCTTTGGAAGGATTTTGATTCTGTTTTGATGCAGGTGCTAGAGCCTGTTGTGATTTGACAGGGGCTTATTTCTGGTGGTGGAAAGAACCTGCTTCTCCCTGTTGTGAACACAGAGGGACAAAGGGATGCTGAGGGACATGGGGGACAAGGTGCCCACTTGCTCGGAGCACTGGGGTGGAGGGAACACCAAAGGAAGAGTGAGGACGCAGGCAGGGGAGTGGTGATATTACTTGGAAGCTAAATGGAAGTCTGTGTGCAACGTTTTTTAAGGCAATTTTCAGTGATACCCGAGAAGAACCCCCTTTGTCTAGAGACTTTTATCAGACTGATTTGCTGCTCGCTGTCTTGCACTAGAGCGTCCCTGTAAAAATGTCGTAGCCTCTCATCTAGCTCAGGAATGTTAAATGCTGATGAAGTATTAGGTTTTGGAAGCAGGCTCATGCATTGGTATGAGGGAGTTGCATTTCCTTTTAAACTTGCAGAAACTGTTTGAGTTCTGTTGATGGTTACCAGTAGTTGCATTCTAATGGTACCTGCTAGGGCTCAGGATGACACAGAATATAAAAATCTGACGGAAGATTATGTGGTGTGAGAACAGCTTAGAAAAATGAAAGGATAAAAACTTAAATTAACATCTCATCAGTGTGGTAGTTATGGCAGAGCTGGGTTTTGTGCTCCAAGCTCCTGATCTATAGCCCTCCTGCAGCAGGATAGCTGTCTGCAAGTGTTATTGTATCAGATTCATATTTATAACACCCATGAATTCAAGCAGAAGTTAACCTTGGAGTAAGGCCCTGGTTAACTTTTTTGCTTACTTTTTTTTTTAGCTTCTGGGCTGTCTAGAAATGTGTATCCAAATCCATGTTGCTTGTAGACAGCCATCCTGAAACAGTATCACCTGCCTGATAAGCTTTAACTAGAATATAACCTTAAACTATTTGAACATTTTACTTCTCCAGAAAGTTTTTGTTCTTTACCTAGCATTAAATATCTGCTAAGTATCCCGCTCTCTCAGCTGAGGCAGAGAAACGCAGGCATGCTTTCCCCTTTGGAACACAGACTGCAGCAAAGGCAAAAGGAGAACTCTGGATGGAACTGAAGTGTTGCTGGTCTTTCCGTACACTGGGAAGGTAAATAAGTAAGTTCAATGTGACCAGATTCCCAGGTGATGCGGGAACACATACATGAGCTGGTCTGAAACAGCAATTTGATACCAACTGTCTCTTACTTTTTTTTTTTTCCTAAAGCAAATGATGCCAAAAGCCATCTCTGCTGTAATGCAGAGCTGCTTATTTGCCAGTGTTTCCTTCTGCCTAGGCCACTTGTGGATGTTCTAGACAAGACATGAATAGTGTGCTGTGAATTAGGTTTTCTCCTGCTAACACCCACCTCAGTCTTAGGAAATCCAAGGAGATTAAAGGTAAATGTCAATACTTGCATTGTAAGAGACTTCCTCTAGGCAGAGCTTTAAGAGCTGTAGTGTAGAAGACTACTTTGGTATGGCTGGGCCTGCCATGAAAAGCCTCATTCCTGGCACAAAAACACACTCGAAAGTCAGGCTTGCTGCTTGAATAAAGCAGATCTATTTCAGCACCATTAACATTTTATTAAACTACACTATCAAAATCACATTGATGGCAGGGAGAACATTGATATCAGTGCGTATTTTCTGTACTAAGAGTGGTAGTTGTAGCATCCAGCACTTGCTGAGGAAAAAGACACTGACACAGGATCCTTCATAGCCAAAGAGACAGTAAAAAACTCTTCTACAAAAATCAGGGCAGTTAGGGGCTAGTTGAAAGAGACCAAAGGGAAACCCTTCAAGTCAGTCAGGGAGGGTTATTTTTAAAAAGTTTACTTTTAACTGCTGTTTGTTAACTTCCTCAGCTGAGAGCTGAAACTGTTGAACCAACAGCAGTTTTTAAATAGAATCCTCTGTCCCTGTACCTGCCTGTTCACAAACCCACACAAATATTGTGTACTGCTCCTTCACTTGTGAACTGTGATGCACACACTTGAATACAACAGCTTGAAGTGTACTACAGTTATAAAAACCTGCTCCATCTTCTAGAACCAACAATAAAAAGTAGCAGAAATACATTCTATACAGAAGTGAAAAAAAAAACCAACACTCCCAAACAGTTGAGTTTCAGACAAATATTAGAGTACATCAGGTTGAATTTTAAAAGTCTGTCTGTCTTCTAACATCTATATAACTATTCCTAGTCTCCCCAAGCCACTGCTACGTGACGCACCTTAGCAACAGCTCAAAGCTGCTTTCTGGCACAAATGGACAACCAGCAGCCTTTTTAAGCAAGCGTCCTCAGGAGCAAGTCACAGCAGAAGTTGTGGGTTTTTGTGACAAACCTTCCAAAGGGCTGCAAGTAGAGGCTTGTATGAAATAAGGCTATTTTCAGTCTTCATGTGAAGACTTGTATTTCAGTAATGTGTTGAACAGTGGAAACAGAGGAAAGCAGTTGTTCCACCACAAAGAGGTCGGGCTCTTGGCAGAAGAGCGGAAGGTGAGGACAGGTAGCGTTCGGGAGGAGAGGAACTATGTACATCAGTGTGATGGGTCTCTAGTTTCCTTTTCAAACAACGTTCTTATGCCCAGCCAGCTGGGGGTCTGCTTCACTGAGGCGCTGGGGTTGTCAGTAACACCCCTCCTTCCAGGAGTCGTCCTCGGGGGCCTGAGTGGTCTGTGCTGACTGAAGAAATCTGGTTTGGGAGACAAAAAAGAAAAAAGTCACTAGGAGCTACAAGAAGCAAAGCCCCCAGGTAACCCTTTGAAGCACACAGGAATCCCTGCTCGAGGCTTTCCTTGACGCTGGGCTTCTGCGGCATCGGTCTTCCGACAACGTCTGCATCTGCCTGCTGCAGGCAAGCTGCTGCAGTCACGCAGCCCGTGCACAGGGAGGCCGGCGGAACAGACACAGCAGCAGCTTCAGCCAGGTTAGAGAAATTCAGTGATTATTACTGACATACTTATTCTGCTCTGCTAAGGTATTAACACTGTTGTGGGTTTTTCCGTGACTGAGTCCAAGAGAAATATTTTTCCCTGCAAATGTGACTAAAGACATGAAAAATAATCAGGTTGTATGTAGAGTACTACTACAAATTAAGAGTTTAAAAATTCCCTTTTTAGTATTTTTTTTGAAGTAGATACAGTTCAATTCAAGGCTACAGCAGGTCAAAAACCAAGAAGTACTTGTTGCTTATTAGTCTGATACTGAAACGACTTAATTTCCCTCAGGCATAAAGGTTTGTACTGCAAATAGCTGTAAAAAATAGCTTTTGGCAATGTGGTAGTGGCTTTACCACACACAAAAGCAAAGCAGATGCCACAGGGGGTAAGAACACCCTTCTGTGCATGCGGTTGTTAGAAACCTCATGGAGGCTGCCTTCTTTAAAGAGAGGGAATGTGTCCTGACTAACCAGCTGTTGCTTTAGACTATCTACAAACTTCAGATACCCACTGTCTAAATATTTAGGAAGCTGATCATAAAAGCTAAGAGCTAGAAATAAATGTAAAAAAAAAAAGTCCAAAACCCCACTCCATCCTTCTGCATTACGATGTGGCCCTTAAACCAGTTCTGTTCTTGTTGCACGCATCTGAACTTGTATGTTTTGGAAGCCGTTATGTATGCTCTGCTTTCACCCTGTTACTATAATGATATAGAATCATGCTTAAGATGAGCCTTGTTAATTTGTCCTACTTTTCAAACCCTTCTAAAAACTCATTAGGCCTTGGACAATGCCCACCTGGAGTCCTAACTAAAGACTAAGGAAGAAAAAAACCCACACCACCAAACTCATTTTACCAGTCGCAAAGTTACAGAAGGCACCAAAGTAGGTCATCTGGGAAGATTATTATATTAACAGTAAAGAGAGTTTTTTAGTCCTTTAGAATAGTTTTTCCCCTTCCCAAAGCCAGATGTACACCCAAATAAGGATGTGCCATAATGTTCATTTTTTAGAGGAATAACTTCCTCTAAGATTAATAATTAGAGGAATTAATTTTCCTGGATAATTAGCTTTGTTTTTTAAAAAAAAGCACTTTATTTTAAACAGATGGAATGAAATACTGAATGGTTTGGTCACAGGTTACATGGTAAAAAAGGGGTATCTCACCCAGCAGCTGATGAGTCCCAGCCTATCATACATTGATATAATTTAATTTAATTTTAATGGACTTTAAAGGAACTGCAACCCTTTGCTGCTTGACTGGGGGCAAAGTACTTAAGTACTACCCTTTCTTTAAGGGCTCCCCAAGCACAACCCTACATCTAAAGTCCAGCTGGAGCTCTGACCCAACTCTATACGCAGGCCACGCTTTAAAATCAGAGATGAACATAACTTGATAAAAAAGCGTTTCTGATCTGTGAAATAAAGGCAGATGTGGAAGCCTGTGAGGCTCCAAGTCTCACACTTACCTCTTGGATGGTGGTGGCGGCGGCTTGCTCTTGGGCCCCGAGACTCCTCCAACAGATGTGCGTGCTTTAAGGGGCGAATTTTTTGCCACAGTGGCCACGTTACTGCTTCTGGTAGTGCAGCTGCTACTGGAAGAGCCTGTACTAAGCGAAGGCGCCTGTGGTTTTCGAACTCCGCTCACAGAGCTTGTGTAACTGCAGGCTTTTACTGGCTGCCTGGGAGTTAACAGAGAGTTTGTGCAGGACCCTGCCTTCATCGGCTGTCGCACTGTTAAGGGAGATTGCCCAGCACTGGAGGAATACCTGAGCTTACTGGGAGCCAGACCTAGAAATGGAACAACAAAAGAAAGAACAACCCGGTTGGCAACAGTATTTTAAGAACGCTTCAGGATACCAGGCAGCCAAAAGAAACCAACTGCAGCAGTGTGCCTGGAAGACGTCGTGCTGACCTGCTGACCGCTGCTGAGTTCTTGGAATTCGACTGCTTGGCACCTGCAGATCCGCCTCTAAGCTCCGACTGCTCCTTACAGACTCCAAAGCTCGAAGGCTCGTCCTGGCCAGGTTGGGCATGCTGTGACGCATCTCCTCTGAAATCAAGAGCAAATTCTCTATTTGCCGCTTCTGGTAGCGACAGAGGTATATGATGGGTTAGACTATCTCCTGAAAAACTATCTACTTGAACAGTTGGACTTGATGATCTTAGAGGTCTTTTCCAACCTTAATGATTCTAAGAGTCTATGATTAAAAGTAGACAAGTGTGTAACTAAGCCTTAGCTTCCATTAAATAACGGCACTTTTGAAATGCGTATGTCAAAACTATTTCCACTGACTATGTATCAAAAGCTCGTGAGCAGCTTACCCTCACTGTTTGCGTACTTGAGCCGGTCTTGCATCGGACTTTGCACCGATCTCCTTGGGGGACGGATACGGGAAGTAGATGACCTGCCATAATCTGCACTGGAGGAAGGGGACTGACATCGGGGTGAGCTGAGCGGGGATGGTGAGTATCTGTGAGCGCTACGGTATGACAGGGAACAATCGTAATCATCCTCATCCTCAAGGCTGTATGTGTCAAACTCCTGGTCACTGTAGGTACCTCTTCGCAGAGAGTGAAGGGAGGCACTGGAACTGCGACGCGATACAGAAGCCGAGCTGGAGGCACAATCCTGACGGAGGCCTGGAGAGAGAGGACAACACGGCTCAAAGTCATCGTGCTCTAAAATAGAAATTCCTTACCCAGTTGCAACATAAACTCCAGAGCAATGATTTTATCAGTGATTCATTTCACCTTGGAAGGAAAATTGAGTTAATAACTCTCTTTACTGAAGATGCTTGCAGCTTACGGAATCTCTAAACGGGAACAGTGTCACCCATATCAGAACTGTTTAATTAGAGCAAAGAGTTAATATTCAAATTGACCTGAATTACTCCTTACATCACATACACAAGCATCTGGGATTGTGGACTATATATTGCCGTGCAAGCTCCATTAGGTTAACCAGGTATAGGAGTCTAATTTACAGTATGAATTTTTTAGTTCAATTAATTATGCACCCACCAGCATTTCAACAGGTTGAAAACAAAGATTTGAATTTCTGCCTCCAAGTGAAAAAACACCTACTTTTTATTGACACCTACAGTGCATCTGCCTGGTTTATTTATAGGTTCTCCTCCAACTTATGCCTTTATTTAAGTCTTCCTGCCTAACAAAACGCAAGCAACTTCTTACCAAGAACTAATTTAGCAAACTGGTTGAAAGGCCTCAGTTCTGAAAAACCCTCTTCTCAGTGCAGGGATTAAAAAAAAAAACAACAAAAAAAAGCCCCAAAAACCACATTCCCCACTTTTCTCCCTTCACAATGCAAATACTAAAAGCTTCCATCATTCTGAGGATGAAATGCTTCTTATATTTCCCTGGAAATTCTTTTTTAAGTGATCACAAAGCATAAGAAAATATTCAAGTTTAGAAAGAAAAAGGCCATTATTTGCTTTATTCACTTTAATACAACTTTTCCTCAGCTGCGTTCAGGTGTAATAAAGTGGTAACAAGATCTTGTGTCTTTTGCTCTTTTTGTCTCGGATTCCAATTCCTAGATCATAATATTTTTTAAATTTATAAAGGCACCGTGCTAAAAGTAAGTAAATGATCTCCAAAAGAAAAACAGAACTTCATTCTCTATTTCCTGTAAATCAAATTAATGATTAATTTGCACAGAAAACCAGATCCAACCACTTTGTTCCACCTTGCTCTTCAATTAGGACCTCATCCAAACCACACCAAAGTCAATAGAAAGTTTACCAATGATTTAATGGGGACTGGACCAGGGCCCCGAAATCCCCAGGCGCTGGGACACAGACAGGTTTTCTGCTGAAGTTAAATTGGCAGAGCTGGCTCTCAGCACTTCACCAGAGGAAAACAGAAGTTGTAATTTCAGCTCTTTCAGTTTTAGTACTCTTGAACTCCTGGTTTTACTCGCCACCACAGTGAAATACTACTTGCATTTTCTGTGAAATAAACAACTTGCAACAGTCATGGCTCTAGACAGCTTCTGTCAGGATTTCAGGCTGCAGTTTGGCAGCCTGCTCAGAAAAACAAAAATTTACAAGCAAAAAATTTTTGCTGGCTTGTTTTTTCAACTGGATCAGTTTCCCCAAACCTTTGCCCAGCCCAGACACACAGCTGCTTGTGTTTGCTCGAGTGAGGGGACAGCAGCCAGAGAGGAACCACCGCTCTCCTGGAACAGTTACTGGTGAAATTGTCAGACAGAATTTGGGATTTTTTTTTTTTTTTTTTTACACTTTTGAGTATTAAAGGGTGCTTACATATTTAACAAAGCAAAGGTCTGGACAATACTTTCAAGACTATCCTCTGCTTTAAGAGGTGTAGTCTTGAGAACATGATAAAACTGCTACGTTTAGGTGGCAGTTTGGGTCTGTAGGCTTTTAAAGCCCCTGCAAATCACAAACATTTCAAGTGATCTATTAAATTATTTTTTGTTGGGGGAAGGGGGAAGAGAAGAACAGTTGGAATCCATCTACATTTCTCTACAAGTCTGTAAGAGAAGGCTCTGGCGAGACCTTACTGCAGCCTTCCCGTACTTAAAGGGGGCCTTTAAGAAAGAGGGGGACAGGCTTTTTAGCAGGGCCTGTTGCAATAGGACAAGGGGGGATGGTGTAAAACTAAAAGAGGGCAGATTTAGACTAGACATAAGGAAGAAATTTTTGACGATGAGGGTGGCGAAACCCTGGCCCACGTGGCCCAGAGAGGTGGGAGATGCCCCATCCCTGGGAACATCCCAGGTCAGGCTGGATGGGGCTCTGAGCAACCTGATCCAGTTGAAGATGTCCCAGCTCATGGCAGGGGGTTGGACTAGATGGCCCTGAAAGGTCCCTTCCAACACAAACCCTTCTCTGGTTCTAAACCGTAACACAAAGGAGATCGCCGTCACGTACTTACTTTCTTCCTGAAGGCGTGCCATAACCTGGACATCGGTCAAGTCCTGCAGCTTGTATCCCATAGAGATGGAGTCATCGGATGTACTCAGCTCGCTGTCCACAGACGACTGAGAGCTCAGTGCAGAATGCATGCTCAAATAACCTTCAAGAGGGGAGAGGAGGGAGGAACATAAAAAGCAGTCAGACACCCACATAGAAAACAAGAACGAGCAGCAGAGTATTTATTCCAGCAATAAAATCAGTGCAGTTGTGAAATTGAGGTATGGTTGCTAGAAATAATTAAGAAGTTAGAAGTTACTTGAGAACACAACGCTCAGGATTTTGACCCTCAATTTTCAGGAGGCAGAGTGTCTTTGTGCAGGGGAATAAGTTGTGGACTTGGAGGTGGCAAAGGGATGCTTGGTAATTTCGAGTTTAGCAACATACTTTAAGAGATCAGTATTATTTCTGCCTATTTTGAGAAAGGGGCAACTATTGATCTAGATATTAAGCAGCAAAGTTATACAAAGTGCTTGCTAGCGCGTTGGTGAGCAGCCACAGGAGTAAAAGGATCCAAACATCTTTCAGAGCACAGGACCTTAAAAATCAGTCATGCAATCTGCTTATGCAAAGTATAGTTTACACTAGATTGCCTCCTCCCCATCCCTGAGGTTTATCCATTTTTTCCCCCCTCTTATCCTCTCTCTTGCAGGGAAGGACATAGCTTGTTTATACAGCAGGTCATAAAAAACAAGCTGGAAGGATCTTGCCACCAGGGAAGGTTTTCCCAAAACCAGGCATTAGGAAGAGGAACAAATAATTCTCCCTTTGGAGAATAGTAATAAAAATATCGTCATCATCATCAAGTACAAACTTTTACCCATTATTACTTTTTCTTAAGTCAAGCAAGTCAGTATTTTCCATGGCATAAGAGTACTACTGCTTGCTGCTGAAACAGGGAGGCGAGAACAAGCCACGCAACTTTGGGGTTATTCTGGCACTTGTCCTTCAAATGTGGGAGGCTTGTAAGTAGCCCCATGCACAGAAATGTGGTATCACAGCCCATGGTCTTCCTCAGGTGCTCCTCTCCCTGGCAGCTGGGCTGACCGTGGCCGCAGCATCACCCAGCAGTTCGCTCGTGTCCCTCTGCAGATGGCAGGCAGATGCGGCCAGTGACAGGACAATCTCGCTACTGTTCCATCAACGCTAGTTTTGGCTCGGGGTAGTATCTCAGAGAGAGCACGCAATGCTGAGCATACCTCCATCCTCTCTTCCCATTTTATAGCTACCGTAACTGCTTTGTGTTACCAAAAACGACAAAAAAAACATTGCTAGAAAAAATTCTGGAAGCGCAGAAGGGCTAGCGAACGTAAAACCTCTACGTGGCAAACGTGCTTATCTGTGCTACATGTTACAAAATACCGTAATATGCTCCTAGCATAACTAACCCTTGAACATGGGCATGTAAGAGCATATAACTTACAGAGCTATTTTAGGAGAGAGTACATCATTACCTTAAAGTAATTCCAAGACAAGGTTGCAATTAGTACTATACAGATTAAAAAAAAAAAATATTAAAAAGCCATGATCTGACAGAAGACAGTAGATATGCAAGGGCCTAAGAGCACTTAACATCGCTTTCAGCTAGAGTAGGCTTAAGAAATACAAATCCTGCCCAAGCAGGGATTCAAGATCATCACTTAAATGAAAAGCAACAAGCAGGCTGTAGCACACCAGCCGACAAATCAAGAACATAAGTCAGCCTCCCAAAGCAGCGATATGATGTCATTCCCTACTGATTTCTACCCCAGCTCACGCAGTTTTGCCTGCTGAGTTCCAAGAAGTCTTGAAGGCACTGTACCTACTGAATAATTCTCAGCAAGGACGCTAGAAATACATTTTGTCCGTTCTCGGAAAAACATCTGAAGATCATTGCTGAGCAACCCTTTCAAGCAATGGTTAATTCCACTCAGGCAGAAAAAACCAGCAGGTTCCCAACGTTATTTCTTCAACCAGTTTTGAAAAGCAGTAACTGATGACACAGAAAACACACGTTTGACGTCCAGGCGTAAAACATATTTCTTAACACGGACATCAAGCAAACTGCTTCGTAGCAGAAAGCCTCAAATTCCTCATTTGAAAAGGCAGAGGGTTTTTCCAGTTTCAAGACAAACGTCTAGCTAACACAGTGACAGAAGCGTGACGGTAGTAAGGGGTGTGTCTGCGCGTGTGTTACACAAATACACACTCCAAGTCAAGACGCTCCAGTGTTGAGACTGCACGGCCGCATAACATCATCCCGTTTCTTTCCTCCTGCTGCCAGGCAAAGGCACCGTAAGCCGCTGAAGTAAAGCCAACGTGAGAGTAGGGACTGCACCCTATGTAGTAGAACGACTAAGCATAGGTTTCCCGCTGTAACTAACACCTTCTTTAATACTGAAAGCTGTCTTTTTAATGCAGCTGTATCTTGAATACAGCTTTTTAAAAAACAAAGTTCCCAACTCAGTTGTGTGTGTTTAGTTTGGTCATTGCATTTCAAATTGCAGGTCTATTTAAAAACAGTCAAGGAGGGGAAGAAAAACATTCACATCAGTAAAAACGGCTGTGGCTCAACATTGCAAGATGAACTGATGATGGTTTTCATTACAGAAACTTCAAAACGTACCACATCTGGGTTTTGTAAAAGTTTTTTTTGTTTAGCTTTTAAAGGAAGTTACTGTTAAACATTTTTCATTTGAACGGTAGGGAATCTCCGCTTTCCTTGGAAACAAAATTAGATTCGAGGCAATCAAGTTGACAGTGAACTTTTAAACTCATGTTAGCACCTAACGCATGTCACAAGGGAAGAGCCACCAAACAGATGAACTGAACTCTCACGTATAATCCTACATGGACAAAGCCTGTTCTATACTTAGCTTTTTATTTCGTACCCTTGACAACTTCAGCAGGTCTGCAGAGTACATGAAGTCTCGAAGTTGCCGAGACAGTTTGGTTTTACACATCAGTAACTGTTTCTGTGTGAAAAGGTGCTTAGACATCTAGATTGCTAACCAACCTCATATTAAAACCAAGAAAATGATTTACAGATTTTTCCCTGCAGAATTCAGCTTGCAAAATAATCAGTCCTACACGCATCCTTCTGTTTGCAAAACAGAGATAAGTGCTAGTTTCTATTTAGAGCAGAAAACCAGCGGGTCTCAAAAGCATACCTGCAGCTGTGAAAATACCCATATGCAACCCTTTTTTTTCCCCTTAAAAAAAAAAAGGCTCATTTAAGACCAAGTATCAAGCCAGAAACTGTTAAACATGCTTTATGTTTTTAAACATGCAAATTAGGCTATAGCAATTTCCACAAAACCCAAACAAATCAAGGAAGACTCCTTTGGTAATAAAGCCAAGAGGCAAAGCGTTCGTACTAGGAAACGGAGCACGAACTGCACCAAGGATAAACGAAGCTCCTGGAAGAGCCTACACGGACTCCTTCGGCAGCAGCTTAAATGCAAAGGCAGACTTGAGGCCAAGCCATGTAGGAGAAGCTTCAATATCACACCTACAAACACAGGCTTCTAACAAGAATTTTGTAGAAGTTGCCTCTAAGGTAGGAAGTCTCTCTCCAACCGCAACGAAGTCTGAGGGAAAGCTTTCGTTGCTTTGTGCTTAGCTGCCCAGTTGGCCAATTTAAAGGCTCATCCCGGAGACTATGCCTTTTGTCTTAAAGCACAAGGCTTCTTTCTGTTGCCTACATTAATCAATATTTTCAAAAGAAACTTCACAAACTTTCAAGCCAGAAAATGAATTCAAGTTAACTTTATCAAGCTAACACCTACATATGATAACACTACTCAAGAGCAGTATTTTCTTTGCCCCAACAGCTGTTTTCTCTTTTAAGTCACTTAAAATTAGTACAATTTGTAAATATATAGAGAGAAAGTTACAAAAACAAAACCATGAAATAACTAGGAGACATTTAGAATGCAAGGAGGTTTTCTCCCATGTAGTAGATGAAACCTGGGTCAGTAAGTGAGCAAATTAAAAGGAGAAAACCCCGTGGGTGGACTTGCATCTCTTGACAACTTTTCCCTGTGTCAATTATTAATACTCCTTGCATTTTAAACACTACAGGTTTGCACTGCTCTACTGTCATGCCATACCTGAGCTGCCACAGGTTAGTAGTGCTTTGTTAGTCGATTTGAGTTGCCCAGGAGAGTTTAGTGCATTGCTACAGGAGCCTGTCTCTGTATTCAAATTATGTGCGCTTGGTGATGCCAATGGACTGCAATACAGGTTTTTCCATCTACTGGCTAGAAGGAAAAAATACAAAAAAGCCATAAAGGTTATCAAATTATTTTTAAAAACAAAGAGCATAAGATAAAGAGAGGCATCAGATCAAACAAGATTAAATATTGTAACAGGTGTACTTCAAATAAGGCATCTTGATGGTGACAGTTACAAGACGTAGGAAGCAAAGCGGCGCCTGTTCCCTTGCTCACTCTCCCCTTTAACTGGTTTTGTTAAAAAAAGGTGTTGTTGAAAAAATTCATTACTTCTGACGAATTCAAAGAATAGCTACTGGCAAACTTGGCTTTGAAGAAGCCATGCGTTTCTGAAAATTTCAGTGCTGGTCTTCAAAGATGACCGCTCATAATTATTCATAAATAACGGTCACTTCCTCACCCCATCTTCATTTTAAAGAACTCCATTGAACTTTATGCTTACACATGTGTTATTTTGAATTTTTTATGATGGAATCAAAACGGCATTAAGCCACAAAAGCTATGCCTTTTGATTAAAAAGAGGCGCAAATTAAGATGAAAAACAACATTCCGAAATTTTTCAGCATACAGACTCGCATACGAGTTAGTGAGACAGTCAAAAAGAAGCCAGGTAGCAAACTGTCGTGCATCCACGTTTACTGAAGTTGGAAATAAGCAGCTACAACGCTAAGGAAATGACTCAGTCTATGATCTGTATATATTCAAGGGGCTGCTGAATCGATCCCTTACCATTGTGAGAATAGTGGCTGAGAAAATAACGAAGACTCACCATATAAATAGTTTTCTTTTTTATTTCCCCCACCAATACAAGGTTAGACTATTTTAGTTAAAAAGGAGTGATAGAGTACAAATAAAACCCGATACATTTCAGACGGAAAGCAAAGAGTTAATCAAATGATTCTTCATTCAAATTTTCAAGCGCAGATGGTTTAGAAAAGTAAATGAAGTTTGTTCTCAGACTAGGTTCAGTTATCTCAAATCAGGAATTTCAAGGCTAAACTCAAAATAAGCCCGATTACAAGCAGTGCCAAAACACTGGTAGTATGTAAACTTAAAAAAAACCCCAACCCAATCCAAACCAAAACAGTGGCCTCTCAGACTTCAAAACACTGAGGTCAAATTACTGGTCAAACTGAAATCAAAATTATCGCACTCACATAGAAGACAAAGCCAGCCAATTCAAAACCCAGGCAGATAAGAACTTTTGTACCGAGCTGGGGGTTGTATTTTCAGCAGTTAAGAGCATCACTGAACTTCAGAACGTTAATTCTCTCAGAAACGTCACTTTTTCAAACACTGCTAACCACAGCCTTTGTGTTTAGATGTTCACGAGTCAAACGAGACAGGCGGGGTTGCAACACATCCTGCTCTGCAATGCTTTTCAATGGTGAGTTGTTAGAAGAAAATAATAAAACTAGTTATCCCTCTCCAGCTGCAGGGCAAATCACAGCTGCCGATATAGGAAAATTACGTGATATAGAAAACCACGCACTATAGAAAAGGGTTTCTTATTCACTTCAAGCCCCTCAGTGTCCTGGCTAGCAGCAATTCAGCCAGGACTCGCACATTTTACACACAAGCCGGAGCACGTCTGAAAAGACAACGGTAGGATATCCACCAGATGGAGCCCAGGTGATGTCCTACAGATAGACAGGAACAGAATAACCACCTCAGTTTTGTCACGAAGCAAGCTATGCATCTCCTCTAGCAGCTCCTACATCGGGAAAGGCTAATGTGGGATTGATCCTTCTGCGTGCCGAAGGAGGAAAGGAAAAACCACAAGCCTACCGCCCCGGAACACTGACCGTGCTGGTGGCACGCCACTCCTGAACAGAGCGCGCCGTAGCGTTTTCGTTTCGGGCAGATTAAGGAAGGGATTTTTCCCTCAGTGGTTAAGTAAACACAGCTGAAAGCCACCATGAAGAGCTTTTAGGGGATGATAAAAGTGGAAGAAAAACAAGGTTTCCAAGTGACGCCGTTTCTTCAAGTTACAGATTTTAAGGCTTTGTTATTGTAAGCTTTGAGCCTCAGACACTATTTTACCCAGATACTACTACTAATGCTAAGATACAGTAAGAATAATCACCATTAGAAACATTCAACAACAGTAGGACTTTTTATATAGAAAAAAGCTGCAATAATAGTTTCATATGATTCTCTCCCCCACTCCCCAGAATTGCATTTTTTTGCTACATATTTTTACATTAAAGTTGTTTAAATATTATAAAACAAAAAAAAAAGAGCCTGAAAACACTAAAATATATTTTTATAT